GGGACTCGTTAGTAAGATATATAAGATTATAAATTTTGATGGAAAACCACAAAGGGTGATGAAGATGAATTGGGAAAAAGAACTTAATATTAAAATATCAGATTTAGATTGGAACGTGAATTGGAAGAGTAGAATTATGAAGACTTTATCTGTAAGGATTAAAGAGCATAATTATAAGGTTGTTTGGAAATGGTATTTGACTCCATTAAGATTGTCATTGATGGATAAAAAAATTAGTAAACAATGTTGGAGATGTGATATGGAATTAGGGACTTATGAACATATGTGGTACAAATGTGATAAAGTTAAAAAGTTTTGGCAACAATTGGAGGAAATGATATTTGAAGTGATGGGGAAAGCAATAATATTGAGACCAGAAACTATATTACTGTTGCTAATTAAGGAAATAGAACCAACAAAATATGAGAAAGAATTGATTAGAATTATGATTATAATGGGTAGAATTATAATAGCCAGATATTGGAAATTAGATGTGAATTTTAGAATAGAAGAATGGTATTGTGAAATGTGGAAATTAGCTTTAAATGATAAAATGACATGTGATATTAAAATTAGAAATGGTGACTATAAAGAAGACATTTTCTGGAAAATTTGGAAACCATTTGTGGACTATGCGCTGGGAAAATTGGATGCTTCGGTACCTGTACCCCGAGAACGTGGATTTTGGCGATCATGAGGATATATCCGAAGAACCAAATCTTCCTTTCTTATGTATAGCACAGGGTGAAATATTGTACATGTTGTTTGTAATGTTAGTAATTTAAAATATAAAATGTTAAAAATAAAAAAAATAAAAAAAAAGAATGACTTTCCCATGGAGTAACAGATAAAACATGCTGCTTCGTTGCAGCGTCTGCAACAGCATTTCCTTCTGATACCATACCTGGGAAAGACTGATGACTCCTAATATGTGCAATATAAATTTGATTCTTTCTGAAGTGCAAAAGCTGTTGCAACGTTAAAAAGAGGGACAAGAGATCCTCATCCAAAGATGGGGTAACATATGCACCAGGGAGATTAAAAATCAGTTGACACACATACTGAGAGTCAGAGATCAGATTAAAAACTGTTGAGAAAAAATGTGGAAAGCTAAGATAACAACAGACAATTCTGAACTCATCCACTCCATACGCACCAAGAAATAAACTGTATATTCAGACAGTTAGCCATGCCCTAGTCACCTGTTGGAAGGAAAATCCATCTGGTTCAGTTCCAAGCTGGGAGAAAGACGCTGGAAACAACATGGAGGCTGGAGGCTGATTGGAAAGAAGGTCCATTTATTGGTGAACAGAACCACCAGGGTTTGTGGTTCTGGGTCAGCTGAACAATTAGCTAGATCAGTGCCAGGATTTTTATACAGGTCCTGAAATGTTGCTGGAGGAGGGGGAGGGGGTTGTGCAATGAAGGGATTTGTGTTCTGAAAGGGTATTGGGCAATTCCTATTGTGGCTAATGGCTTTCGTCCTGTGCTGGATCTTGGGTGAGGGGCTGCTGTACTAATCCTACCATTCTGATTTTATTAGCTGTCAAACTTTGCTGCGAGGAGTTTTGAAATATTCTGTCTTAAATGGATTTCTGCCTGCAGTATTTGCTTTGCTTATGAATAGAGCCATCTAGATAGCTGGCTTCTTCTTTCAATAAGCACTTTATCTCCTGAGTGCTGGCATCTGCTGTGGGCTATTGAGAAAGACTGGGGGCTGCTTTCTGCCTCTAAAACACATTTCTCCATTTCTCCTTTAGGGAAATATAATATTCTGCCTTTTTTAATATTTCCCAAAATATTTCATTCTTTGGGGGGGGGGCTTCCCACAACACCTCATGACTTGATTACTGCAATGCATTCTACATGGGGCTGTTACCTAACTGGTCCAGAATGTAGCAGCACAAACTGATGGATATGCAGTATCTCAATAAACCCATGTAACAGCTCCACTTCGCAAGCTGCACCAGTTACCAGTTTGCTTCTGGTTGTGATTCATGCTGCAGGTGTTACCTATAAAGCCGTATATGGCATAGGAACTGGTTACTTGAGGGACTACCTACCACTTCGATCTTGACTCTGGGCTAGTCATTCTCTCTCAGTAAAGGAGAATATTTGTAGCTAAGGTGTGAAATGAGGGGTACTTGGGGTTCTTTGACCTTGGTTGTTTTGTTGTAGACATTTCATTACCCTAGTAGTAATTTTACTACTTTTAATTTTATTCATTACCCATCATCAGTTACCTAGACTATTCTCTCTCAGCTCAACCCACCTCACAGGATTGTTGTTGTGGGGAAAACAGAAGGAGGAAGAAATATTAGGTATGTTCGTCACCTTGAGTTACCTATTAACTCATCTGATAGGTTCCAGATGGAGCTTGGGCCATTTCCTGAGACTCTAGCTCATGACTCGGCTGATGACCTGGTGGCCGCCTGGGATAGGGCGGCTGCCGGGGCTTTGGACCGGGTCGTGCCTTTGTGGCCTCTGACCCGGCACCGAACTCACTTAGCTCCTTGGTTTTCCGAGGAGCTGAGGGAGATGAAGCGCCGGAAAAGATGCCTAGAGAGCGGTTGGAGGGCCAGTCGTTCCGAGTCTGACTTGACACTGGTAAGGTCTCATATTAAGACCTACCTAGTGGCGATAAAAGCGGCGAAATCTAGCTATTTTGCCGCTCTTATCGCATCATCAGATAACCGCCCAGCCACCCTGTTTAGGGTGACCCGCTCCCTCCTCCATCTGGGAGCGCGGGAGGACCCCTTGCAGGGCCGAGCTGAGGATTTTGTACAGTATCTGGATGATAAAATAAGTCAGATTCGGGAAGACTTGGCCGCTGACTGGGTTAGTTCAGACGAGATGACTGAGACAGGCCTTGAGAGTGTTATCTGGGAGGAGTTCGATCCTGTGGCTCCCGAGGACGTGGACAGGATCTTGGGACGACTGAACGCAACCACATGTTTATTGGACCCGTGTCCCTCCTGGTTGGTGCTGGCTTCCCGGGAGGTTACACGAGGCTGGCTCCAGGGGATTATTAACGCTTCTTTGAGCGAGGGTGTCCTGCCGGCCGCCTTGAAAGAGGCGGTGGTGAGGCCTCTCCTTAAGAAGCCATCCCTGGATCCGGCTATTTTGGCTAACTATCGTCCAGTCTCCAACCTTCGCTTTATTGCGAAGGTTGTTGAGAGTGTGATGGCGCGACAGCTCCCCCAGTACCTGGATGAAGCTGTCTATCTGGATCCGCTCCAGTCCGGCTTCAGACCTGGGTACAGCATGGAAACAGCATTGGTCGCGTTGGTGGATGATCTCTGGAGGGCCCAGGATAGGGGTTATTCCTCTATCCTGGTCCTATTAGACCTCTCAGCGGCTTTTGATACCATCGACCATGGTATCATGTTGCGCCGGCTGGAGGGACTGGGAGTGGGGGGCACTGTTCTGCGGTGGTTCTCCTCCTATCTCTCCGACCGGTCGCAATCTGTGTTGACAGGGGGGCAGCGGTCGATCCCAAGGCGCCTTGTTTGTGGGGTGCCGCAAGGGTCGGTCCTCTCGCCCCTCCTGTTCAACATTTATGTGAAGCCGCTGGGTGAGATCATCCGTGGTTTTGGGGTGGAGTTCCATCAGTACGCTGATGATACTCAGCTGTACATTTCCACCCCGGACCATCCCAATGATGCCTTGGAAGTGATGTCCCAGTGCCTGGAGGCCGTGCGGGTCTGGATGGGGAGAAACAGGCTTCGACTCAGCCCTTCCAAGACTGAGTGGCTGTGGCTGCCGGCATCCCGGTATAGCCAGCTGACGCCATCGCTGGTTATTGGGGGCGAATCATTGGCCCCCATGGAGAGGGCCCGCAACTTGGGTGTCCTCCTGGATGTGCGGCTGTCTTTAGAAGGGCATATGACAGCCGTGGCCAGGGGGGCTTTTTGTCAGGTTCGCCTGATATGCCAGTTGCGCCCCTTTCTGGACCGGGACTCCCTACGCACGGTCACTCAAGCACTCGTCACTTCTCGTCTGGACTATTGTAATGCTCTCTACATGGGGCTCCCCTTGGGGTGCACCCGGAGGCTCCAACTGGTGCAGAATGCGGCTGCACGGGGGATTATGGGAGCGACGGGGCGCTCCCATGTGACTCCTCTCCTGCGCGAGCTGCATTTGCTTCCGATGGACTTCCGGGTGCGCTTCAAGGTGTTGGTGATCACCTTTAAAGCGCTCCATGGCTTAAGGCCAGGGTACTTACGGGACCGCCTTCTGCCACCAATAGCCTCCCACCGGCCGGTTCGCTCCCACAGAGAGGGCCTCCTCAGGGTGCCGTCGGCCAGACAATGCCGGCTGGCGACCCCCAGGAGGAGAGCCTTCTCTGTGGTGGCACCTACCCTATGGAACAATCTACCCCCAGAGATACGAGTGATCTCCGACCTCCGGATTTTTCGTCGGGCCCTAAAAACTTATTTTTTTCAGCTAGCTGGTCTGTCCTGATTTTAGGGTTAGTTTTAAAATTTTAATATTTATTTTAATTGACAAGTTTTAAATTATGGGCCAAATTTATAAATTATTTTAACTTTATTTTTTAACTGTGATGTTTGTATAGATGTTTTTTATCTGGCTGTTCACCGCCTTGAGTCCGAAAGGAGAAGGGCGGTATAGAAATTTGAATAAATGAAATGAAATGAAATGAAATCTATTTCATCTAGCCGGGCTGGCTTGATCCCATCCTTTTGGTTTTAATTTGAAATTGGTTTTAACTGGGTTGTTTTAAATTGAGGGCCGAAATTATTTAATGTCTTTTAAACTGTTTTTTAAATTTTATATGTTATGTTTTATCTCGGCTGTTCACCGCCCTGAGTCCTGTTGGAGAAGGGCGGTATAAAAATCAAATAAAATAAATTAATTAATTAATTAATAAAGGCATGATAAGAATCTAATCAATAAATAAATTGATGTGTTGTTTGGGCCAAGGATGTATGTAAGGTAAATATCAATCAATCAATCTAGTTTTTCTAAGACCAACCTACCATCCACTGTAAGATTAATGTTCATCTCGCCCGTAAAAGTGTCATCCGTGATGGAGATTTCCACTTCATAGGTCCCTTCATCGGATAACTGCAACTCATCGATCAGAAGGGAGCCATTTTCAAAGATTTTTATCCGATCTCTATATTCTGGGCGTAGGTTCCCAATGATCCCTGTGCCGATGGATTGCACCACTGTCGCTGCCTTGTTGCGTTTCACTTGCCATTTGATCACAGGCTTGTCATTGCTTGTGCTGGTGTATTTCACAGAGAGCAGGGTGGGCTTCCCGACTGTACCATGAATCAGTAATACCGGACTGGTGATATTGACTCCGTCTATCAGCTCTAATGGGGAAAAAGAAATGAAAATATAACTGACATTAAAAAGGAACCTTGATGGTGCACTGGTTAGAATGCAGTATTGCAGGCAAACTCCACGGTCTGGAGTTCGATCCTGACTGGTTCAAGGTTTACTCAGCCTTTCATCTTTCCAAGGTCGATAAAAATGAGGACCCAGATTATTGGAGGCAATATGCTAAGGTTGTAAACCATTCAGAGGGTGCTGTAAAGCACTAAGGGGCAGCATATAAATCCAAGCACTATAGCTATTGTCGACTCATTTGAAGTCACTAATACATGCTTTCATGTATTATTTGAAGTCACTAATACTTGCTAGCCAAGAGAATATCCAGAACTGATAAGATTATAATCAAGAGCTCCCCAATTAGAAAGACCATGCTGAATGTGGATGACAGAGCTGCAGTCCAACATACCCAGAAGGCAACTCACTTGGAAAAGAGGGTTGAGTTGTGAGGGCCCAGTTCACTGCTGTCCTGTAAGTATATAATGTTTGATCTTAGTGTATATCCTAACATAAAACTGGAGTACCACGTTGTTCATATTTCATTTAAAAATCATAGCACCAATTTAACTACAAGCTTACTGAGACCAATATTGGATGAATAGAGCTTTTGTTGTGTGAACATCACCAGATGGGCTTAAGGATCTGTGTTATTAATGCAAAGGAGAAAAAGAGCAAGGATGAGGTCTACCAAGTCATTGGATAATTAATTTAATTCAATAGAAAATAAAGGTTTAGGTTGCAGTCATGTGCATGCTCAAGTGTAAACACTAATGAATGCCATAGGATACGGTTGCATTGCATGATGTGTTCATTACGGCATGCTTGTTTAATTTATTTATTTATTTATTTATTTATTTTTAAATTTGTATACCGCCCTTCTCCCTGAGGACTCAGGACAGTGAACAGCCAAGTAAAAGCATAAACTACAAACATTAAAGTACAATTAAAAAGATATATATAAATTTGGCCCCATGATTAAAAACAATAACAAACAATTAAAAACATTTTTAAAAGTGTTAGGCCAGCCAACTTGCTGGAAAAAGAAGGTTTTAAGGGCATGGCGGAAGGCACCAAGGTCTTGGATTCTCCTTATCTATGGGGGCAGCTGATTCCAGAGGGTAGGTGCCCCCATAGAGAAGGCCCTCCCCCTGGGGGTCACCAGCCTACATTGTTTGGCTGATGGCACCCCGAGGAGGCCCTCTCTGGGAGTGCACAGGTCGATGGGAGGCCGTCGGTAACAGCAGGAGGTCTCGAAGATAACTAGGTCCTATGCCATGGAGCGCTTTAAAGGTGATAACCAACACCTTGAAGCGCACCCGGAAGACCACTGGGAGCCAGTGCAGCTCACACAGGAGAGGTGTTGTATGGGAGCGCCATGCGGCTCCCGTGACTACCCGCGCGACTGCATTCTGAACCAGTTGGAGCCTCCGGGTGCTCTTCAAAGGGAGCCCCATGTAGAGAGCGTTGCAGTAGTCCAGGCGAGAGGTGACGAGGGCATGAGTGACTGTGTACAGGGAATCCTGATCAAGAAAGGGCCGCAACTGGCGAATCAGGCAAACCTGACAGAAGGTCCCCCTGGCTACAGCCGTCAGATGTTCCTCCAAGGACAGCTACGTATCCAGGAGGACTCCCAGATGGCACGCCCTCTCCGCAGGGGCCAAAGACTCGCCCTTGATAGTCAGTGAGTCAACTGACTATATCGGGATGCCGGGAACCACAGCCACTAATTATAGACCATACATTTCATTCCAGGGCTGGTAATGTAACTGGCTAATTAACAGGAGTTTCTACAGCTCCCTAACAGAAGCCTTAATGAGACCCTGCCGCAAAGAGCCAGAAGGGCTGAACGCTAGATTGTGCTGATGGGTGCTGCACAAACAATTAATTCACTTTGCCTAAATGCAACATAATTTAAACCCTGTTCAGACACTTGCCAGAACTCGCTTTCTTAACTTCAGGGATTGATATAATTTAAAGAGAGTCAGAGATAGAACACGGTTGACCTTTCCTTTCCTTAGCACCCAGAAGAGTGAGACTGTGAAATGCGGTGACTGTCACAGTCTTGGCTCAGAAGTGTGCTTTTGTGTAAAAGAATGAGTTCACTGACATTAAGGCTAAGTGTCAGAACGATAGCAAACAAATGGACAAGTATGACAAAAAGACAGGCAAAAGAAGATATTTGCTCAGAGGTTTTGCATCCAGCACCACAAAAAATTCTATATGCCTCGAACTTTTCCACGTTGTTTGGAAATACCTAATCGTATACGTGCTTTTCTGAAGCTCTCCTTCATTTCAATAGGCTTTGGTAAAGATTGAGCTGGATTACCCTTCGTGTGTCTTGCAGGAAAAGTCAGCAGTGGGTGAATGTCCTTCAAACTAAATTAAGAACTGGTCGTGAAATCTATTCTCCATCCCCACCACTTGCTGAACCTCTTTTTAGAAGGTGGATCTCACCAGCCTTCTGCTGATATCAGCAGAAATGTAAGAAGTGAAGTTTGATCCCATTTACTCGATATCCCATATATATGGATATAATTAAGGAAACAGCTTCACTATGAACACTAAACTGAAGAAGTTAAAAATGGAGGTGGAGAGGAGGAAACATTTAATTGAAAGTACAAGAAACCATGACAAGTGTCAATTCTGATTTGATGTACTGCCTGAGTACTGCAGGACTGGAAAGGCTAAAATTTTTGATGAGGCAAAACTTGTCTGGTTTCTCATGTTTTAATGTTACAGGGAGATGAATGGGAGAAAAGAGATTCTATTGTTTTAAGTCAGCTTTTCAGTCCAACATCATTTGGAACGAATATCTTGAAGTTTCAGAAGGATTGATTCTTATGACTCTGTTTCCATAGATGGAATGAGGAATGCAGGATACAGGAAGTCCTTGACTTACAACCGTTCATTTAGTGACCGTTCGAAGTTACAACAACACTGAAAAAAAATGACTTATGACCGTTTTTTACACTTACAGCCATTGCAGTGTCCTCATGGTCATGGGATTGGCAACTGACTCATATTTATGACCATTGCAGTGTCCCAAGATCACGTGATCCCCTTTTGTGATCTTCTGACACACAGTCAATGCCCCCATTAAGCCAGAATCACTTAACAACCATGTTACTAATTTAACAACTGCAGCGATTCACTTAACAAATAAGGCAAGAAATGTGGTAAAATGGGTCAAAATTCACTTAATAAATGTTTCACTTAACAACAGAAATTTTGGGTTCCCCTGTGGTCGTAAGTCGAAGACTACCTGTATATCCTTACAATGGAAGGAGAGTCAAGAAACCAGGATAGATTTGACCACAAGGTTGAGACAGAAAACACATTTAGTGTCATATGTGTCATTTTTGGAAAGTTTCAGCTGCCCAAGAAGCAGTACAGGTAGTCCTCGAGTTACGACCACAGTTGAGCCCAAAATTTCTGTTTGCTCAGTGAAAAATTTGTTAAATGAGTTTGTCCCATTTTATGACTTTTCTTGCCACAGTTGTTAAGTCAATCACTGCGTTTGTTAAGTCAATAACCTGGTTGTGAAGTGAATCTGGCTTCCCAATTGACTTTGCTCATCAGAAGGTTGCCATAGGGGATCATGGGACTCTGCAACCGTCATAAATATGAAACAGCTGTCAGGACTTCCAGTGGCTCCGCGTTCCCCAAATGGACGCTCCTTTAGGAGCTCCAGCCCCATGATTCCGTTTTTTTTTTTTTATTTGATTTATATGCCGCCCTTCTCCGGAGACTCAGGGCGGCTTACAATGCGTTAAGCAATAGCCTTCATTCTTTTGTATATTTTATACAAAGTCAGCTTATTGCCCCCACAAACTGGGTCCTCATTTCACCTACCTTAGAAAGGATGGAAGGCTGAGTCAACCTTGAGCCTTGGAGAGATTCAAACCAGCAGAAATTGCAGGCAGCTGTGTTAATAACAGGGTGCACTAAACCACTGTACTATCAAGGCTCTGGTCAGGACGATAGTTGGCCAATATTGCCGGATCCAGGGACGGCTTCTTGAGGAGAGGCCTCACCACCGCCTCTTTCAGGGCAGCGGGGAAGTGACCCTCAGTCAACGAAGCATTAATAACGCCCTGGAGCCAGCCTCGTGTAACCTCCCGGGAAGCCAGTACCAACCAGGAGGGACACGGGTCCAGTAAACATGTGGCCGCACTAAGTCTCCCCAAAATCCTGTCCACATCATCGGGAGTCACAGCATCAAACTCCTCCCAGATAACATTCTCAAGACTATTCCTCATCACCCTGCCCCGATCTACCCAGTCAGAGTCCAAATCCCCCCGGATCTGAGCGATTTTGTCATACAGGTATTGTCCGTAATCCTCCGCCCTGCCTTCCAAGGAATCCTCCCGCACTCCCGGATGAAGCAGGGAGCGGGTTACCCTGAACAGGGCGGCCGGATGATTCCCTGATGACGCAATAGAGGTGGAAAAGTAATTAAACTTTGCCGTCTTTATCGCCACTAGGTAGGTCTTAATATGCGACCTTACCCGTGTTCGATCAGATTCAGCGAGACTGGCCCTCCAACCGCTCTCCAGGCGTCTTTTCCGGCACTTCATTTCCCTCAGCTCCTCAGTGAACCAAGGAGCCGCACGGGATCGGCACTGGGTCAGAGGCCGCAAAGACACGACTCGGTCCAAGGCCCCACCAGCCGCCCGGTCCCAGGGGGCTACCAGCTCCTCGGCCGAGTCATGTGCTAGAACCTCAGGAAATGGCCCAAGCTCCGTCTGGAACCTCTCAGGATCCATCAGGCGCCTGGGGCGGATCCATCTAATTGGAATCAGTTGAAAGGACTATTCAAAATTATAATCTGGAGAACAGCAATGATTTGCTGGCTGGAAAAGAGGAAGAAAATCAAGCTATTTCGACTTTGGAGCAGGAAAAAGAGGCTGTCAGGGTCACGATGAAAGTTAGCACACTGAAAACAGAGGTTTTGGCAGAAGCTTCTATGCAGTTAACTGAA